GAGACAAGTGACGTTCCTCAGGAGTCGGTGCTGGGACCGGCGCTGTTTAACATCTTTGTTGTTGACATGGACAGGGGGATCAAGGCACCTTCAGCATGTTTGCTGACAACATCAAGCTGTGTGGTGCGGTCGACACACTGGAGGGAAGGGATGTGCCATCCAGAGGGACCTGGACAGGCTGGAGAGGTGGGTCTGTGTGAACCTCATCAAGTTCAACAAGGCCAAGGGCAAGGTCCTGCACATGGGTCAGGGCAATCCCAAGCACAAATACAGGCTGGGTGGTGAGTGAATTGAGAGCAGGGCTTGGGGGTATTGGTAGATGGAAAACTGAATATAGCCAACAATGTGTGCTAACAGCCATGAAAGCCAATTGTGTCCTGGGCTACATCAAGAGAAGTGTGGCCAGCACATGATTTTTCCTCTCTACTCCACTCTCATGAGACCCCACCTGGAGTACTGCATCCAGCACTTATGTTGATAAGAAGGACATAGACCTGCTCAAGTGGGTCTAGAGAAGGCCACAAAGATGATCAGGGGGCTGGAACATCTCCCTTAAGAGGACAGGCTGAGAGAGTTGGGGTTGTTCAGCCTGGAGAAGAGAAGGCTCCAGGGAGACCTTATAGCAGCCTCCCAGTACTTCAGGGGGGATGCAAGAAAGCTGAAGAGGGACCTTTTACAAGGGCATGTTGTCATACGATGAGGGGTAACAGTCTTAAACTGCCAGAGGGTAGATTTAAATTAGATGTAAGGAAGAAATTCTTCCCTGTGAGGGTGGTGAGGCCCTGGCACAGGTTGCCCAGAGAAGCTGTGGCTGCCCCCTCCCTGGCAGTGTTCAAGGCCAGGTTGGACGGGGCTTTGGGCAACCTGGGCTAGTGGAAGGTGTCCCTGCCTGTGGCTGGGGGTTGGAACTGGATGAACTTTAAGGACCCTTCCAACCCAAACCATGCTATGATTCTATGAAAGGGCTGAGATGGGGTGTTCCCCTGCTCTAACCCTTAATACTTAAGCATCACTTTTGATGATGTCTGCCTGCACAGGGTCAGGTAGGCATGACAACAGAGGCAGAACTGCCTGGCCAGCAAGTCCTTATTTGCCCTTCAAGAAGTAGCACATTTGCATGGACCAGAGGCCTCAGCCATGTAAAGATAGTCTTTTGGGGAGACGGCAGAGGAGGAAGGGTGGGGGTCTTCCCCCTGTTTTGTTTTCTACATTCCTTTTGCTCGTGAACTGTTACCATTGTGGCTGAGGTGGTTTTTCTGATGCCTCTTGGGTTTGTACTGCAGCCAGCAGTTCTGATTCTGTCTGGCCACATATTGTATTTGGCTGGTTGGCTCTCTCTAACAATTCTTCTTTCCCCCCCCCCCCCACAGGCACCTTTACAAAGAGATTAAAGGTCTAAAAATGAACAGCTGTTTCATAGGCAGGCTTTAACGCAGGTAACAAGTGAGTCCCTTGTAAAAGAGAATTTGGGGAGAATTTCTTGAGTGTGGGTAACAATAAACATTTCTTCCACAACACTGAGGAATTACAAACAATTCCTGAGCTAACACTCATGCAAACAGGCAGGAATTCTTCAGGTAATTAAAGACTGAAAACCATTTTAGGAGAAACTAGGAGACAGTGAAGCTGTATTGACAGCGATGAGAGAAAATCCATATGCTTTTGGATGGGGAGTGGATGCAGTTCAGCTATGGGGAAGGGAAGAGAGGAGCCCCAGATCCTTTATGCTATTCATTCGTTTAACCCTCTGGTAGAAAACCCATTTGCAATGTAGTTGTGGCTGTGCTGGAACTGGCTCAGCACCACAGTTCCAGACTTTTTATTGAGCTCTGTGAAAGCACTTCAGAGACTTGCTTGGCCTTGGGAAGATGGGAGAAATTGGATGGTCATGTTTGCACAGCCAACAGACTCATGCAAGGAGCCAGGATCCCTTAGCAGGGAGGTCAGGAGTGATCTTGTCTTACTGTGGACTTTTGTAAATGAAGTTTTAACACAAACCCCTTCCTTTTGGTGATTTAGAGTTGATTTTTTTTTTCCTCCCTCACCTGAGAGGATTTTGAGAGGGCACAATTCCCATGTTCTCCCATTCTTCCTTAAAGCTTTCCAGCTGGTAAGTCTGGGGCGCTGCTGTCCTGGCAGGGAGTCTTTTCCCTCCTGCATCCATCCTCTCCTGCCTGGCACATGGGGTCAGATGCTTTAGTGGTGCTGGAAGCCTCCTAGGCGAGGTCAGGAGTGCCCACAGCACAGAGCCCTTCCCAAGGGCTGATTTTGACAGATGCCAGCCTGGCCCAAGGGCACAGAGGACTCCTCACCCCAAGGGAATGGCGTGGTCCTGGCTGCATGAAGATGGCTCAGCATGGAGGGGCTGAGTCTGCACCGCGGCTCTGTTGAAAGGTCCTCGGTTATAAGAACTCTGGGGCGGTGGTGAAATGAAGCGCAGGGGGACAGCAGCGTGGAGGGGGATTAGCTAATTAATGCACAGCTTGATTAGGAAGTCGGAGCCAGGCATGCGAGCCCAGCTCTTCTGCTCTCCGGTTCCCAGTGCTGACCCCTCTTGCCATGACTGTGATGTAGGAAGCTGCTGGAGTCCACTATAGGAAAAGTAAATATTGTCATTTCAAATAGAGAATGGTTTATTCTGTAGCAGAACAGAGGGTGCCTTCTCTTTGAGAGGCCACACTGAGCTCGGGGCGGGGGACTGTAGCCCACACATCTGCCAGCAAGGCTGCTCTTTCTGATAGTCACAAACCCTGGTGCCAGGCGTGCCACCTTAAACCCACAGGTGACAGGGGGATGTGTGTGAGGCTGGTGTGAACATGTCCGGTAGCTCCAGAGACTGTCCATCACCTCCTTCCTGCCAGCAGGTCCTTTGCTAGTGTTTGGGCTCAGCTTTAAGCAAGGTGCCCAGGGCATGATGGAGTCACTGGAGTGAGATGGGAGCTGTGCAGGGCACGTTGCAGCAGGAGCAGGTGCAGGGGCCAGTGATACTGGGGGAGAGGAGGGGTACGGGCTCTGCCCTTCCCCACTGAAGCTGCATGACCCTTTATATAATCCCTTTAGCTTCGATGGCACCATGGTGATTTACAGCACTAATGCTTTGATCCAGAACATGTTGGACCATGGGTCATGAATTAAAATATGAGAGATGACCGTAAAGCACAAGTTTCCATTCATAGACAGCTATTTTGTGAAGACGTGACTGTAACCAGGTGTGAAGATCTTGCAGAAGATGAGGGAGAACCAAGCCAGTCTAAACAGATTTGTTAGAGCGTGAATGGGAGCGCAGCAGCGTAAGTGCTATTAATAGGATTTACACAGATTAGTAAACTAATCTGTGCATTTCAGATTGGATTTCATATTATGGAAAAGAAAATTAAGCCACATACCATGCGGACTTTCCAGGCAGTGATTTGCGAGTGTGATCTATTTGCTGGTGGAAGTTGCTGCTCAGAAAAGTTGTGGCAGCTTCATTGTGTTGGTCAGTGACACCCACTGTGAACCCAGAAGGGGAGAGCGTGTTATAGGGTGCAAAGCTGTGCTGCAGGACTTGGGAGGCAGAGGATGAAAGGAGAAGCACCACAGTCCATTTAAGCAATGGCTCTTAAAATGCACCACCAGGTGGTAAAGCAGCGTCCAGGCTTGGCTCCATCACCACTTGTGCAGAGTGGTCCTCCTGACTCAGATAAAATGAATAGGGAAGAGAGGTGTGAAGAAAAAAAGCTTACAAATAACTTTCCCTTCTCGGCATGTGGCTTGGAGAGGAGCAGAATTGGGCAAGTGTTAGTGAAGTGGGAAGGAAAAGGCCTCTTCAAAGGGGAGGGGCAGAGTGCTATTGCTGTGCCCTGCTCATGCTGGCGCCAGCGTACAGGAGGTGGAAGATGAGCAGGAGTGGGGAGGTGGGACCTGCAGTTCATGGAGGGAACAAGCACCCGAGCCAATTATATATTATCTGTTCCATCAGTAGGGTTTAGCTTCAGTATTTTGACTGTGCCACCCATCTGGGCAAATCTTAGCTTGGCTGTACCTTTCTCCACGAGGGAGGGAAGTGCTGTTATTGCTGTTGTACTGATGGGGAGATAGAAATCCAGATGTTTAGGAACTGGACTTTTGGTTTCCAGTGGTTAACATCAGCTAATCTTGGGAGATAGCTACAGTTCTACAGTTCAATTTGCCTCCAAGTCAGGCTTGAAAAATAAAGGATAACCCATCTTTCTCTTTGTGTTTACTCTTATTTCACAAAAACACAAGCATTTGGAACATTTCAATCCCCATTATAGTCAGGGCCAGAGGAAAAACATCATTACCCTTTCAAATTACTGGTTTAGGCTAAACCTTTGCAACTCAGTGAGCTGAGCAGTGAGTGATTGTTCTTCTTGCATCATCTTGTTACATTGCAGCAAATAAAAATCCCAAAGTCAATTAGATTTGTCTGGGAGAACAAATGCTTCAGAGTTTTCCTGGACCAGGGTTGAAGGTGGTATGAAACACCTGATGAACATTTCTCTCTCTGCCCACCACCTTTCCCACAGCCCTTGAGGTTCAGGTTTGTTTTGTCTTCACTATCAGTGATAACTCAGCTGATGACCATTTGTGACAACTGGGAACCATTTGCTTATGGTAACTATGACTACACTGAAATGCAGGTTTGTATGTAGGTGTGTATTTAGGGGTGGTGTTGAACTGGGGCTCTGAGTAACCTGGCATGGGGCTGCTTGTGCTGCCAGTCTTGGTGGGAGCTGCCAGGCACAGGATGCTCTGGAAATCCCATCTGAGTTATACAGGGATGTAGAATGAATTTGCCTGAAGTCCTTAAAACCAAAACTGGTCTTACAAGTGCTGATTTTAAGAAATGCATTTCTTATTTCCCTTATTTTGGGGGGATTGACTTTAGGTCAGTGAAGTGTTTCCTTGAGTTATACAGAGGTTTTTCAAAAATCAGTTATTAATGTTTAATGGTGACACTGCAACAGTCTAGTAAATTGACCCAGAAGACTAGCTCTGACAAATATTCTCCTGTATTTGTAGACCATTTATTAATTTTATTTCTATAGTGGTACCTTTTGATACCTGGTTTATTCTCTTGAAGTGTCTTGTTGCACACAGTGTTATCAGACCCAAAGGTTCAGAAAGCATGAGGTGACACCATCTTTGAGATACTTATATACAGTTAGATAAATGTGATATACCCATATTGATATGTACTTTGGTTTGGAGACCTTCAGCACCTCCAAATTTATTTATATTTTTTAGCTCCAAGAATTTAAGAATGAAGTTGAGCAGGAAGCTGTGGCCGTATCCCCCATGCCTACTTCCCCTCTCTCATCAGCTACTAAGTATTGCAAAGCTCATAAATTGTGAAAGTTGGCAAATCAGATCATTGCTTAAGTTTAAGACTGAGACCTGGGGCCAGGAGATTTCAATCCTGTATTACCTGGAATATATCATTACTGACAGACCCGCTGGGATTCGGTTTCTACCAGCTATAAAGTGGGATTCTCAAATTATATCATGCCAGCCTAGTTGCCTTTGATGACATGATATGCCATTTGGAAAGGGAAGAGCCATTAGATGTGACACAACTTGGCATCCGTCAGCCTTTTGATGCTGTTCCATGCCCTGATGAAATGAGGAAATGCGATCTGGGCAAAGCCCCTGCAGGATGAGTGGGAAATTGTTCTGAAACAGTGATTATCTTGTGGTTCCAGGTCAAAATACCACAATCTCTTGAGCAAGGGTTTCTACTAAGCACGGTGCTAGCCTGTTATTTTCAGGAACTTGCTGGATGTTGGAAGAGGGTGTGCTTATTAAATACAGGAATTACACCAAGGTGAGAAAAACTGTAAGACAAGTCGATGATTCTGCACAAGTTTCACAGGGTGAAGTCCTGGCTCTGGAAACACGGGCTGCGCTGTCTATAATGGAAGCGGAGCTTGCGAGGCAGGAAGCATTTCTTCCACTGGACCTGGCTCTGGTAAAGGCTAAGCAGGAGTGTTGTCTAGTTTTGGGTTTAGATATGCCTCTCCTATTGCCTTCCAGTCTTGTGAGTCTATGTTAATATCAGCTGCTTATTTCACAGGGATATTTAATTTATTATGGTTTGTAAAAAGATCCTAAGAATTGAGAATAGTTAAGAAATGAGCAGAAATAGGCTCTACACTGTACTTTAATTGGCAAGTGACTATTCCTGGTTCATTGTGAGCATCGTTCACCTGAACAAGTTGCTTTTGCAACCCAAACTGTAAACATTCATATCTTTGCAGGAAATTTTGGAAGGAACAGGGGCCCTTCTGAGCTGTGTATATGTTAGCAATACTTGCTGCCATTATTGGGTAACAAATACAAACCAAGAGCAACTGGTCAAGTAGTCTATTTGCTGGGAGTGACATTTCTAAAGGAATGGGATGAAGCTCTCCTGGTTTGATATTTAGGTTAGCTCTGCCTTTGGTTTGCACACACACACACACACACACACCCTCCCCCCCAGTAGCTGTAAGAAGGTTTTCCCAGACACTAAGGCCAGAAGTGGTTTTACCAAGACTGCCAGCCCTGATGCTGTGTGTAGCAGGAGATGCCAAATGTCCGCCTGGCAACCCTCTACCAGGACAGTAAATTGTCAGTGTTGCCCTGGCCGAGCCTAGGGAGGGCTGGTTGGCACAGCTTGATCTCTGTCCTGGGACCGGGCGTTCTGCAGCGCTGCTGGCCAGTGCAAGGCAACCGTGCCCGGTATGTGCAGTATGCCCCGCGCTCCCAGGAGCGCTTCCAGCCAGGCTGGGCTCCATTTGATAAAGCGATACCTGGAAATAGGCTGCTGTCAGCAGCCTGCTTTCAGGTAGTTCTTTTTGGGAGTCCTGGGTCCTACCTCCCTCTTATTGCAGAGGTCTGTGGGGCTGAGAGGTTATGGGAAAGATGGCAAATGAGAGCAGTCCCTAAACACCCCTCTTGGAATTTAGCTGGGGGACCTGAGGCATCCCAAGCAAAAGGAACCATGGGGAAGATGCTGTGGGGGCTCAGCTGAAGAACCTTGGTGCATGCTGACCTGGAGGCTTGAACGTGCTATTGTCTCTCATCCAGCCCTTGTCCCCGTGGGCAGACGTGTCTACATGTGCTTTACTTCTCTGTCCTGGTGTTGGCTGCTTTCTTGGCAAATCTGGGGGACACCAAGCCCTGCAGGCGATGCAAGAATCAGAAGTACTGCGAACAATGTTTTGAAGCTCTGGTGAGAACATGATTACATTTATAGGCAAGAGGAGGAGAAGGGCTACATCACCCTTCAGAAAGTTAATGTCATTCCCTACATAGGGGTGTTATGTGCGTAAATCCCTCCACATGCAGATGATATCACGCCTCTAGAGTTTGCAGCTCTCCTACTGATATTGCTCCAGCATGCTTCTCCCAGCACAGCACTAACAGGGCAGTTAACCCCTGCTGCCTCTGCTGCTGTTCTGTCACAAGTTTTGAGCAAGGGGACAACACACTGTTCAGCAGCAGGTCAGGAATCTGCACTAGCTTGGGGGTTTTGGGCCTCAGCCTGGTTCACTCTCTGAGCTTTGGGACTGAACTCTATTACATGTTGCCTGCAAGCAGGAGCGGAGGCTGCCCCTTCTGCAACTTCATAGTGAACCTCAAAATAAAGAATTTTTTTTTTTTTGAGAGAGAGTCTTTGGTCAGTGCTCACTTCCACCTGCATGCATACAGCAAAACAGGTAACGTTTTTTAACAGAGGCAAGCTATATATTTGTATGTCTGTTGCAAATGTGCTTGGGTTGGTATAGAAAGTGTTGCCTTCCAGAACCGCCTTCTGATCCTCTGCCTGCCCTTGTTTGCTTAGGCAGCAGTAAACAGCAAAATCCCCAACATCTTCCTAGGGCATGGGTAGGCTCTTAGCTGTCATTTTTTTCTTATTATTTTAAGAAACTACTGGCTTAGGACATGCAAAAGCATGCACAGCTCAGGCTCTGGACTAACCCATTCTCACCTCCTGTGAGCACATCTCCCCCCTCAGCTCCTTGGACTTGGTGGGAGATGAGTCAAACCTTTCTCAAATTGCCTTGATCTGGAAGTGGGTGGCTTTGGAGTCTTTCAGGGCTCGCGTGTGCATCACCCTGATGGGGTGATTCATGCAGGAGCATTTTTTTCTGGAGCCTGAGTGTTTGGAGGGTCAGTGATCCCAGTCCAGAGCCAGTCTAGTCATCGACAGGGCTTTGCTGGAGGCTTATGTGGCTATAGGTCGGCATCAGAAGGTGGCTGTAAATGTAGTAAATAAACGAGTGAAGCAAACGTAGCTTTGGCATAAGCAGCAAGTCCTCCTGCTGCTGTCAGGGGGCATTGCATCCGAGCCGGATTGGGCTCCTGGGGAGGCAGCATGAGCCAGTGGGCAAAGCAACAGGGGGAGTCAGAGACCTGGCTTTGCAACCTGCCTCTGCCACCCACTGCCAGCACCGCCCCGGGCAAACCACCTCTTCTCCCTCTGCTCCTCTCCCCTCCCAGCTCGGGTTGCTTTTATTTCTGTATACTGTAAGCTCCTCAGGGGAGGGGCTGCGTTTTACAGCTGCAAGCGATATAAGGGATACCACTAACACCAAAATAATTGGCTGTCAGTTTGCAGAATAGAAAAGAAAATGGTGCGGTGTAACATTCTGGAGTTCTTTTGGGTAACATAAGAACTATTGCAAAGCACTTTGGCTGCAACAACAAAGCTTATTGATTAGCCCAAAGTATTCCAAATTGGGTCTTTCTGCCCGAGAAGTAGCAGGATGAAGAATTAAAGTACTTACACTTGAGAATATTGTACATGAGTTATTAAGTAACCATCAGCTCTACTCCAGCGCTGCTCAGTTCCTCTGGACTTCGTGCAACTTCTGAACATTTTATCTTTTTCCTTCGGTTTTCACAGGCGTGTGCCAGCTTCTGCAGCATATAAACTAGGTGCTATTTTTATTGAATCTGGCTTTAATGTCGTAGATTTTTCACACGTGTGTTGGTTTTTTATTGTTGGTCTCATTCCTGAACTTTCTGGCACCTCTAAGTGTAAAGTCAGTTATGTGCACATTGTTTGGCAGATGAATTCCTATTTCTGGGAATAATTTTCCTTCTAAAATGTATTTTTATATTAAAAATGTGATCTGTATCCATAACTGAGATATACTGTCCTGAGACTCCAGTCCAAAGCTTTCTGCAGCCAGAGATCACTACAACAGGGGATGCAAACCCTGTAAGGAGACCTCTGCTTTCCAAGCCAAGACTATTTATATTAAGATCTTGTTTTACTGACCCAACCTCTGCCTCTTGGAGCAGGAAAATTCCCTTCTGATCTGGCACCGGGGAAAATCCAGCCAGAACAGAGGATAAAAAGTGCTGTCTTCCAACGTTGCCTGCCTTCCCAGTTTGTCTCCCCGCTAGATCAAGAGCAACCGCCCGTCTCGCCAAGCCTGCTATCAGCTTTATCCCAGCTACTGCCCTGGCAGCCCTGGTCCTCTCTCCAGCATCCCCAGGCCCCGTGTGAAAGGCAGGGGCTTGGGGACCCAGCTGCTGACCCTTCTGAAGGTGCTGTCCCCCTTTTCTCCATCTGCACACAAGCTGCCAGTGAAGAAGTAACCGTGGCTGTGTGTGGTTTTCTCGCCCAGGGTGACCTGGAACACATCTGCAAAGCCCTCCAAAGTAGCAGGAATGCGCTCCGTTAGGACATGATTCATCCTGCATACCGCATGGGTGGCTGCTCAGGGAGAATTTTGACATTTGCATATGCTGAGACTTTCCGCTTCTCAGTTGCCCTCAAACCCTCCGTACTTTTGTCTGCTCGTGTGCAGGGGCTGCGCAGCCAGAAACCCCCTCCTGGAGGGGATCTTCCCTGGCTGGAGCCAACCCAGCTGTGGTGGTTCCCCCCCTGGCTCTGTCACACGGCAGAAATGAGAGAAGAAGCTGCTCACAGCTCGGTTGAAGGACATCTTTAGACTCTCAGCCCGCGCTCCGAGCAAAGCTGGATGGAGCTGCCGTCCAGGGATCAATCAGGAATTTGGTATCTGCAGGGCAGGAAAATATTATCACAGTCCTACTGCTCAGGCAAAACCAAAGCATGGCAAAGGGAAGCACTATGAACAGCAGGACTGAGTCATGCATGCTGCTTCTGGGAAGGAAAAGGAGTTGGGCAACAAGGCAATTGTTTCTCTCTACCTTAGGGCTGTTCCTGAGTAACTGGATTTACTTCGGCAGCTGCAGAGTGTGAGGCAGGTCAACCCCAGGCAGAGAGGGGAGAGATGCTCCCAGGGCCGGGAGGCGGCTCGCGGCGCTGTGCCACCGGGACCGCCATCAGCAGCGCTGTGTGGAGCCAGCGGGACGTGGCTGCAATACACCGGAAAGATGGAGGAACAGTGAATAATGGTAAGGAAAGGTAATGTCTTAGTGATGAGAAATGTAATAGGGATATATACAACTGGGTCGGACTACTAAAAAACTTAAATCTCACAGACCTCATCTTTCTTCCTACGGCCTAAATACAATTTAAGGGGTGAAAGGGTGTTTTCCTGCTGGCATGTGCAGGCTGTCAAGTATCTCTAAGTATATATAGCTTCAGTGAGGGAAACTATTTCACCCGTACAGGTTAGCCTGCTTCAACTTACTGTCATTCATTTTGGCATCAAAACCGTAACTAGGCAATCCTTGTACTTGGAACACAGATCTTAAGTAATATGGTAATGTGTTTACATCCTTTAATATCAAGGGAACATAAATTTCAGGCTGTTCTCAAAAGTCTGCTCAAACCAGGTCTGATACCAAGTGCAATATTTTAAAAGAAAAAGTTTGACAAACACGAATTTAGCAAATAGGAATTTACCTACCCAAAAAGAAATCCTGACATAGAAAGCATCCCAATGCCATGGGAGCCACGAGTAAATAAATACTGACTAGTCATTTCAGTATTATCTATCTAATTACAGTATAAATTTTGAGACATAGATTTAACAGCTAGATTTGAAATAAAATAGAAGATTTATGGTTTTTAATTTAGTATTTTAGATGCAAAGTTAGGGTCTGACAAAACCCACTCAAGTCACCAGAGTCTCGTTCTAGCTTAAGTAGGCTTTAGATCAATTCCCTGGTGAGTACAGAGTTCCTAGTTGCCACCACCTTCACAATGAGTCATTAAAAGCTGAGTTTCTACTTCAGATTGCTTTTTTAACACAAAATTCAAGGTCCTCACATTATATCCAACTGGAAATATTTACACAAGATGTGTATAAATATAAAGTTTATTCAGTATAGTGTTTAGAAAAATAAGTTCACATCATCTCAGAATACAAATAAAACACTTAATTGTCCAGGCACAAACCCCTATTACAGTACAACAAACATACATACTTTAGATCTCTTTGGTTGGGTAATTAAGCACAGATATGTTTGATGATACACTCTGGGGCGGCATCACCTAACAGTGCAGTAAAGTCTTCTGATTATTCCCTCCTCTAATGCGTACATTCCGCTTAAGTTTCATATTTGTTGTAAGGCACAATAAACCCATATCGCAGAAATAACTGGTTAGTTCTGGACAAACAGTACATGCAGCAAAAGAACAAACATCCTCTGAATGTGAATCCTGAAAGTCAGAAGATTCACTCCCTCCTTGAATTCAGAAATTTAAGAAGCTAGTTTTAAATTATATGAAACATACAAGTAAGGTATAAAATATCCTTCAAGATAATAATTGCTAGGAGATACAGGAAGACTTCAGGTCTCCTTGCTCGCAAAATTTCATTACTTTTTGTTTCGAGTTATAAAATTGCTATTCTTTTTATGATTTGAGATGCTTCTTGACCACAAGCACTAGGCAATTCATGCCCCTGGGGGTCCTGCACACATTATTTTTTTATGAAACTGGAGGGATGCACCCTCTTGGTTGTTCATCTGCCCTCGCCAAGAAAAGTACACAGGCACTGGAAACCTGGTCTAGTGGAAGGTGTCCCTGCCCGTGGCAGGGGGGTTGGAACTAGATGATCTATAAGGTCCCTTCCAACCCAAACCATTCTATGATTCTATGAAATCTACAGACGGGAAAAGCTCCTGTGCACACAGGTTAAATTTAACTGAAAATAGCTATTGAGGTGATTTTGCAGGATTTGAAGTCAGAATCTGTCCATTATTGTCAATAATGTCAGATTGATAGTAATAACAATGAAGATGGTTCCAGCCTTACTTCTGGGTAAAGTAGCTTTCCGAATGCGTCTTCCTGAATCCACAGGTAGGGTAAAGCAGTAAGTGGGAAGAGGTATATGCTTCAATAGACTGTGACCATTCGGTTATAACTGTCCGAGTGTCAGCCTTGTGCACTGGTTCATACTGCCACCATACAGCGGGCCAAATCCACTCCTGACCCAACTCCAGTGAAATGAATGGACCATATTCTCGGCTGGTGTGAAAGGACATTAAAGCAAATGGAACTGTCGACGGATGTCCGAGATTTATGTGGCTGAAATGTCCTTTTAGGTAAGACCACAGGAATAATGCTGCAAATAGTCCAGACAGAGCATTCATTTTAATGTATTTCTGGTTCTCTGCAAAACTCTGGGTAAAACAGAGGCAGCTTTAATTAAAAGTAGTAAAGAACAAAGGGGTTTTTAACATCATGCTTTGTAGGAATTTGCTTAAACTTTAAGCGTATTTTTCAAAGCTGAGTCTGGGACCAGAAAAGTAGTAGAATTTGGCAATGTTTCCTGTAAGATTTCCAGTGGACTTACAAGTTACAAACATATGTGAAGTTGAAACGATCCTTTATTCTCATCCGTAACAGAGAGGGAGGGAGAAGGAACACGTATGCCAGAGAGACATACCTTCCATTTAAACAACAGAATGTGATAATAAGGACTGTCTGTGGGGCTTGGACGCTCATTGCCATTCACGTGTGTGGGACACGAGCATCCATATCCCCTAAACACTGTGTAAAATCCTTAGCTAGGGAATCAGTGGAGCAATGCCTTATTTACAGCAGCCGAAGATCTGGCCCCAGGCGCTTTTTGGGACTTTGTGTACTGACTATTTAGAGCAGTTAGCCTGCTTGCTTGAGGGTCATGTAATAAAAACTGACCCTTATTTTACAGTAGGAGTAAAACTACTATTTAAATATCTATTTTAAAAACACTGTACCGTGCAATGAGTCTTTATATTGTGCATATGTACCTGCAGAAAACATGAGGTTATAACTACGTTATCTGGAGGGAATGACACTTATTTTCAATGGGATAAAAAAAGAGTAAAACATAATAATAAGTTACTTGATATCTGGAAGACTAGAATAGATTAATCTTACTTTGTCCCAAACCACTGCTTTTATGTACATCCTCCGCTCCACTGAAGAGTGGGAAGTCTCCTATTAGAAGTACCAGACACTCCAAGATACGTGCCACTGTAACAACGTACACAGTTTTCACCTCAACTGTGCTGCAAAGCCATGGAATTCAGAGCCTCAGTAACACAACAAATGCAAAGAAGGAAAAATTTTAAAAAGTAACAGGTACTGGCATAACACCACAGTCTTTTCAGTTATGAGACCTGATCGCATCAACAACTGAGAGTGCTCTGAAATACTCTCTAGCTTGCCTCCAAATATAGCCTGAGCTTCACAAATGAAATGTTAAGCCCCAAACAACTCCTTCAGAGCCATGCACATATTCTCCATTAATATGACGACGATACAGGGTCCTTTTAATTTTCCAAATGGTTGAACAAATTCATGCAAAGCAGATGCAGCTACTGTTATCGTCATCAATATCTTCATTTTATGGGCAAAGAAGAGGTGGGAAGCAGATTGCTCACGTTGGAACCCAGCAAACAGATAAACAGGCAGAGCAGAGAGGAGAACTCTGGACTATCTGATTCCCTGCTCACATGAAGATCCCCTGAATGTCACGGGAAGTTGTGCCAGGGGAACATATAGCTCCATGTTCTGCTTGTGATAATCTCCACTTTAAAGTGCTTGCCTTAAATACCCTTTTTGCTTGGGAGCATGTGGGGACAGCCAACGGCTTACGGGCTGCTTCTGTCTGCAGAGCATCAGTGACTCAGTATAGCTGTGAAGCGTGTGCCTTGCACACTTGCTCTTCCCTTTCCCTGCACTTTTCCCTGCAGCCCTAGAGACCCTGGCTTGCAGTGTGGACTCCAGTGCTTACTGACAGATATCAGCTTCGAGGTTCCACAGAATACGTTGCAAAACACGCTGTATTCAATATAGTGCAAAATAATAGAAAGGATGCCTACGCCGGTGCACGGAAAAAATGCCTACACGGTGCACAGAAAAAAACCCTTCAATCCTCAAAAGCTTTCCACAGAACCAGTTAACAACCAAGACAGAAACAGACTGGGATGTGCTACCCCTATTCTCTTTCCTTTCCATTTTTTTGTCCTTTACAAATGATCTTGTTTTGTCCTGAGCCTGATTTGGAGCTCACAGAAGCTTACAAAACATTTCCCATTGCCTTCCAAAGGCTGTGGACCAGGCCCCTCATGAGGATGAACACATGCTTCAGCTACTGTATATATTCACATTAGAATAAAAATTAACAAAATGAAACCACAAAGATTAACAGCATGTCATTTTTATACATTTGCATTCCTCTTATTATTTTAAAGCTTAAGGATGTGCTTTTCCATGCTACAAAAACTCCTCTGGAGGAAAGGTAACATCTGTTCCACCTGCCCAGAGCCCGCCTGCTTCTGCTGTCCCTGGCACAGCACAAAAGGCAAAGGGAGAGGAGACCCATTCCCAGACGGGCAGAGACCACAGCTGCTCCCACAAGCCCTTTGGGCAGCTGCAGTTCCCACCACTGCCCCCCATGCTGCTTATTCTGGAAGGACATATAAATACACACTTAAGTGCAGTCCTGGATGGGGGCCTGCTTGCTTGAACAGCAGCTGAAGCCCTCCCACACGGGCTCCTTGGCCAATGGGTCCATGTAAACATGGGGCTCCCTTCCCTGGCCTGCCCACCTGACCTCTCCTGCTCATCTGCCTGAGGCTGGAGCCAAGACCTTTCCCTCAGCATGCCAGCTCTGCCCATGGTCCCTCTCCGGACTCCTCCTGCCCTGCTGATGTGGTGCAGAAGGACCTATCTTTGGCGCTCTGCACCGCTAGTAAATGTCACCCACAATGACCAACAGACTTAAAACTCTTCTTACTTGTGCAAGTAGGGGCACCGAAGTCAGTGGGTCTACCTGCAGAAGTAAGGCATCAGGATTTGGCCCTGAGGACGGATATTTGCAAATCAGTGTTTTTATTCCTCCTGCCACTGTGCTTCAGTAACAAAGATAAGGCCACTAGGAAGAAAGGCACATGGAATTCTGTAAAAAATACACAAAAAGTTTCAACTAATTCGCAAATTACTAACAAAACAAACAAAAAACCCCTGAACACAGAGAGGGTAGAGACAGGGACCTCCTGGGTTTGTGAGACTGGGAGTTCATTTTCTAGTTTCAGTGTGATTAACATTTTACTTTTACAGTCTATTGCTTGAAAAACTACAAAAAAGTAAAACCTTGTCAGAAATAACTACGTTTACTTCCTGCTCAAACAATAAAAATAAATTAAAACAGCCAGAAAACGTTTTCCTTTTCAATGCATTGTGTCTAAAGTGAAAGGGAACATAAACCATAAATAAAATCCATTGTACTAATTTAAAAAAAGTCTCCTTTATAAGAACTGAAACAATATTTACATTCATACTGGAGAGAAAGCTTCTGAGTTGCATAATTAAGAGTTTCAAATGATGCTTTTTCTGGTGCATTGACAAAATGCTAGCTGTAGCATTTAGAAATCTGTAAATGTTTGATGTGAGATTTTTGGTTTGATTGCAAGTCTGCTGTAAAGCAGCAAACACACCAGTAACAACATTTATGATTTTGTTTAGTTTCTTAACCTCAAACAACATAAAAGTAGTCGGTGAGGTATCGTCTAGAGTTCCTTAAAAATTTCTCAATGCCCATGGACTAGAAGTAAACAGCAAAAGTGACTGCATTGTTTCTACCTTTTCAGAGCAAGATTTTTGTTTTCTATCTAAAGTTAGGAGTGTATACTTACTGTTGAGAGTACGTTGTACTATGGAGACTCTAGTTAAATTATCAGGGTAGTATCTCTTAGCCAAACCTGTACCCATTCGCTCAGTACTTGCCCTGGCATTTCCCTTCTCCTTTAATCTGCTTAAAAGAGAACACTCCATGCAACCCAAGTGTGGCAACCTAATTCCATTGCCAGAGATTCCTCTGTACATCAATTCAGACCATTTAAATGTTCTTCTGTTTTCTTTAAATGAAAAAAACCCACCAAACAAAAAAAAAACAAAAAACAACCCACTTGGTGCTTGTTAGGGCCTCAACAGGAGACTTATCTATTAAAACAGAAAGCAAGAAAAAAAAATTTACAAGTCTTGCATATCTTCATCCATCTGAACTGTCTGCAGTTTGGCAAGTTCTTTTTTGTCTGTTTCCAGTTCTTCACAAACCGTGTCGACCATGTTACTCATAACATACTTGGATTTCGAATCCAGCATCATTAAATTGCCAGTTGACTTACTCTCAGAATTAGGTAAGAAATTCTCTTTGACATCAGGTACGGCTTGCAGAACTAACCTGTGCTCTCTGACAAAATCTTGATGTACTTGTGCAGAGGGGTGGCTGACACGGTCTCCACTGGTAGAAATTATTTCTCCAAGTGCGGGCTGTGCTGTAGAAATGGACAACAGATCTTGACTGGTAATGAGGGAGCAGTTCTGAAGGGTTGCATAGTTAGTGTTGCTGATAGATATCACCGTAGAGGTACTGGTCATGGGTGATGACATAGACTGGCTCTCCGAGATACCAGAGTTCAGTTCTGCAGCATTTAAAAGAGTTGGTGTGAGGGAAAAATTATGTGTGGGTGTTACATTCACTAACGAGGAGGCCAGGGACTGGAGTCCTCCGCTGGATATATTTTCAGAAGACATGTTTACATTTAGTTGTGTGTTCTGACTGACTGGCATCAACTGAGAAAACACAAGGCTTCTTTCCAGTCCTTCTTGCTTGACAGAGCCTACTGCCTGGCCTGAATTGGGAACCGTATAAACGACTGCACTTGGAGTGAGGGGGCTGAAGAAAACTTTTCCTTGCTGCACTGTTGAAGATTCAGTCGTAAAAGTTCCTCCATCAGATGTGCTGGGATTTACTGAAACATTACCTAGAGAAAGGGAAGCAAAAGAAAACGCATATTACAGTTGGCAGAGAGTTGCGCAGGCATTTTGTTAAGACATTTTGGTCTTTTTTATGTTTGTGGTACATACATATGCTAATATTTAATGCAACACAGAACAGCGTTGTTTACAACAGGTGAGAGAAAATTTGGTATGAAGAAATAAAAGCTTTTAATAGAAACTGCTTCTAGAAAGAAAAAAAAATGTTCTGGTATATTAGATATCTTTTAGACTCATTAAGGGGCAAATAGTCCCCAGCCATGTGATTAAAATGAACGTGCTTTGGCCTTCACTAGTTGCCACCACTCAATTTCTATCTAAGAATAGAAACATGAAAAGCTATTAAAGATAGTTCAGTGACAGACTACAGCTTGTGTGTGGGAACTGGAGAGACGTCACATGAAATCCGCTGCCGCTGGGCAGAAACCACCTGAGTCAACCTGTAGAGAAAACATCAAAAAACAGTAACTTGGGTTAACTAGGTAGTCTGTTAAGGATACTCTTATATTGCCTTTCACCTCACTTTATCACGTGTTTCTAAAAGCTTAGCCCTGCCACATCCACCACGCTGTGCAGTCACCCAGTGACAGCCTAGCTTTGCTGAAAGCCATGGCACTGCTCACGTGATGTTGTAGCTAGCCAAGGCAAAAAGAGGTGGCCAGAGATGACCTGAAGTCGGTTTTACTGGACATGCCATGTAAGTTGCCATTATAATAATTCCTAAAATAAGATATACTGTCTCTATTGGGACTGGGTCCCATTTCAAACACCTCTCTTTCTCAAAAACAGTTTAATTATCATCTTAAGAGGCTACAGTTGGAGACACCTGAATTTTTTACAACACTGAAAATTAACTTCTCACCTGGGGAATATTTTAGCTCCCTAGTAATTTCTGTTAATCAGTAATGATTTTTTGGAAGATCTTACTCACATGCATAAAATAGAAGAATAAAGCAAGGCAACTTGAAGTTACCTGTCAATAAGGTACCATTTACTATAGCTTACTTAAAATACCCTGCAGCACACTTCACTTGGAATAGGCAGCCAGCTATCCATCCGTCTTGTGTTAAGAAAAATAAAAGAATCAAAGCAGCAAATACAGATCTTTTCTCTGCACTGGACATATGGTGGATCACTCTCCATCAGGAATCAGTATTTTTAACAATGGGGACACTGTTCAGTGAGGAGCTTATTATGAATCTTAGGACTTTCAAATACAATACTCCCGCACTACTTAAGGGACAGAACTTTCTTTCTCACCTTTGCTGGCTGTCAGTTTATGCCTTGGAGCATGCAGATTAAACGGCTTTTGTAATTAGAGGTGGCATTCAGACTGAATGTCTTCACTTGGTTAAGCTACGTACCAATAACTTCCCGTGACTGCAAGTGCTACATTTTAGGATCTTATAATTACTCACTCATTTAAAATGTGTTTGTACAGCTTCAGTGTTCCTCCCCATAATAAAGCAAGATTAATTCCTTATACACATTTAATTCAAATAAGTTAACATGAGTACAGTTTGATTTTCATTATAGTACTCACAGGTCCTGAAACTAGAGAGATTCATTCAAGTTTAATTATTTTCATAACCAAAGATACAGTGGCTAATGAGTAACAAAGCCGTTCAGTTGTGCTCTGTAACTGACCTGCTTCAAAACAAAGATCCAGAACGAGGCTTGTGCTCCCTGGGATTCTTCCTGGCCGGCCGCAAGTTTCAGTCTATGGTATGTTAAGACAAACTCTAAAGCAAACTTGGGGAGGAGCCTGCACACTTGGCACGTGAACCTGCGATGACATATTTCCCTTGGACCGAGGGCAGTTTTATCCAAATACCCTCGCATTTTATATCTACGAGCTATTGTGTATTTCTATTGTTTCCCTGAAGTTTAATCTTTCTTAATTACAGGACAGAAAACGTATGAGTGTAACTGCTTGGTCTTGTTGTGTCTATAGTAATTTAAAATTTATTTTTATGAAATGCTTTGGTTAAAACAACAAAAAACCAAAACAACCACCACAAGAACAACAACTGTAACAATTTCCAGCTGCCGTAATTTTCATTTTTATGAACCTTCCCATTTAAAGAGTTCAAGGGCAAATGGGGAATATTTTGAACTACTGAAACATGTAAAATTTACAGGTATTTGTGAAGATTGGCATCACAGACTTCTGAGAACAGCATGAGCTGAAAGGGGTGTAAAATACCAGACCTCCTTTTCTGGTTTTAGTAGAGGAGCTCAGCCTCGTGTAACAGTCTGCCCACAAGCATAACCCACCATAAAGTAAGGCAAAAGGTATTATTTGATGTACTGTGTGTGGCCATGGCAAAGGTACAATCCTGGTATCTTGGAGGAAAAGGACCACAGCTGCTAAAACGCTAAGCATACCTGATACTAACAGTTTTTCACACCTCTTACTGTACAAGACAAAACTTTTACCTTGTGAAGCTGCCACAGAAACGGGAGGCAGCTGCAGAGAAGAAAAACCAATGCTTCCGTTCAGCAGCTGGCCATTTGTTCCTGAATTGGGGATCTGGACAATGCCATACTGGTTTATTTGGACAGGAGCAGTAAAAGTAACTACGGAGCCTCCATCTTGGGAAGCAGCAGTTTGTACGCTTTCCCTTTTCACCTCTGAGCTTGGTATCAAACCCGGGAATGAGACCGGGATGTTACTGGGGCTGAAGGTGGCTGCCGTGGCATTGGGGACTGAAGCCTGAAGGAGTTTGAAGTCCTTAACATCTTCTGATGAAGATGACAGTATGTCAGTAATGGACACCCCGTTGCTCACAACGCTTGACGTGGTTTTGGGCGAATTTAAGGTAACCGTCTGCGAAGCCCCCACACTGAGTCCATTGAGAATGACACCGTTGGGTCCCTGAAGAAAAGAGCTACCATTGAGAAAGACAGGAGAGGTACTGGCAGGCACGAGGTTTCCATTCAACAAGACGCCAGATGAACTCAAGGCTATTTTAGTGTTTCCGAGCTGCTGCATGTAGACGGGTTCCGTGTGGCCGGGAAGGCTGAGGCTGGTAACGCTGTCGGATGAGCTGGGGAGCGGGTGGGGAGATAAATCCTCCTGCCCCTTACTGGATTCATCTTCTGTGCTAGGGTTGCCATCTGACTCGCTATGGAAGAGACGGAGAGATGACACTGCATTACCACAGCGTGCCAGCGAGCTCTGCACCAAGGGGGACTCTTTGCTTTGATACAGTTTGTGAGAGTTTTCCTAAGTAATTTTTCCCAGTGTTTTGCCTTTACAAGGCACTTTAAACGAATTTCAAATCAAGGGGGAGAATTTTAGAAATCCTTAGAAAAGGGCACATCAAATCAAACGCTTGCTGAGGAGAAACTTTACCAACTGTGTTAGGGACTTGCAAATAAATGCCCCCTTCCCGGCCATCCGACCCGGCCGACCGAAGGGGGTTGCCCGGGACCCCCTCCCTCTCCCCGGCCGTCCCAGGGTGCCCGCGGCTGTGAGACCGGCCGCAGCCATTTGGTAAATCGCTGGGCGGCAGCTGCGGGAGGTGAGAGCAGGCCGGGAAGCGCTGCCCGACCCCGGCCAGGGCC